CGTTATCAGCACGATTGTTGTAGCTAACTGACGAAACCCTAGCCGTCTGAGGGCGAAACCCTAGGCGTCTCTAATCACCTAAACAAACGACGCATCCTCCGTTTTCAAACGTCTCGGCATCACCGATCTCTCCGTCTTCGCTTTCGACCGAGATAAATTTATCTCTTATCTTGAATATCATGCAATTATAAGACACGTGAATTCATATTTGCAATTATGGTTGGTTGTTGATTACTGTTTGGTTGATGCTTTATAAGAAATCGACACATAATTGCCAGACCTAATGTTTTGATTTGGTGGACTCATGCTTAATTAATGCTTTATTATTATGTTTAAACAACCGTGTGTTTTGAGTTTTNGTTTGATAAGTCATTAGATTTGTCTTATTACTTTAATTGTCGACTATGGTTCTTTACCTAGATGGGTTAGTATATCGTTTGATTTGTTCGATCTGTTTGTTGATTCATATATGTTCATTAATCACCAAATTCTGCCAATGCTTTATCACTTAGAATCTCAATGTTTCCACCCTCATGTTTATTATTTACTGGTTATTGATTTTCTCTTAATATTATCTTAGTTACATGAATTCATATTTACACGTAACAACAAACAACGTGAATATTGCTGTAATTGTTTATGCATGAATTATTTTAATAGATGGAGAACGTGAAATNCACCATGATTTGATCTCTTTGGTGTTTACGGTTTATTGTTGATTATTTTGTAGATTTATAATATCGAGACTTATGTCTTCGACGCTCTCCTAGCTCCGTCTCAACTCCGTCACCGAGCTATGTCATTTTTGTTTTCGACGTCTTAACCAATCTCCGATATGTTCTTTCCATTGAGATAAGTATCTCGTACCATAATTCAATCTCATGCTCTGTTAATCATATATAACATATAAGTTGCTTNGTATTATTNTACTATCGATTTTGTTTAGTAATTTAGTAGAGCATGATAAAATTAACTTATGATTTAATTGATTTGTTCATTATTTTATTGTTAGTATATGAATCGACCATTAAATTAACAATATGGCTTCGTTGATATGCTATATAGAGTATATATGCTAATCTGTTGGAAAACTACTTAAATTATTGATTTTAATTGATTAGATAGGCACATGTTTCGATTGCTTGGTTTCAGTTTATTGATTTACCGAAACCGTAACATGATTTATAAATTATAATTGACAATAGTATTGACAGCTTTGTTTAGTATATGTCATTTATTTGCTGCATCATAAGGAATCTATTGTTTATTTAACTTTGAACCTTGTCGCTTTGAGTTCCGAACTGTTGACATGGTTAATTTATAATTTGATTGTTTGGTTGAATTAATTGTTTGTTTTGAATTAGTTTAATAAATCATCTCATTGCTTTAATCGTCAATTATGGTTCTTTCTTTTACTTATCGCACCATATTATAACGTGAGATGAACAATTTATGCATTAAAAACAAAAAAACGATCATGCTTTAATATACCCATTGTTCGATCGTTATTTTATTGTTATAGTTTCATTAATCGCTTGATTTATTATACCAAACATGACTTAGCAGATTCTAGTTTATTGATCATATTGCTTTAGCATGTTATAATCAGATTTTGTTATAATATATTTTAATTGTGATGAGGTGATTATATGATATATTACTATCATTTGATGAGTGGTTAAATTTGTTGGATTTTTCAACAAAATTCATGAATCACATCTCGGGGTCCATTCTTTGAAGTGAATGTGACATCTTATATGAGAAAAGACAGGATCATACGAATAACACTAAGCCAAAAGATGTGGCTATAAAGATTGTCTTGAATGGTCAATATCGA